ATCTATATTAAATTGCCAAGAGCAGGTTCAACAGTATGTATAAAGCCCCATATATTTCCAGCTGTTCTTGACATTAGAGCTTTTATTGTTTTGCTTGAAATGAATTGCAAAAATTCAAAACAGCTGTATTTGTCTTATAATATAGTAACTCTCAAGGTTGATTTAAATGACAATTTTGCTTGATCACCATTTAGAATTTCCAAGGAACTCTGAAATCTACATCTACAGTATATCCTTCTCTACCATACTTTACAGTTGCCCTTGGTTATTTCCTCTGAGGGACCCACCAGCACACTGAATCTGTCCTGTAGAAACCCACCTCCGTGTGGTTCCACGACCACTACACACAGAATGTAGAGATTACCTTTGCTATATCATTTTAAAACTTTTGCTTTTAAGTAATGATACCCCTGTTTTTCAGTAAACTAAACTTAAACCTCTGATTGCCCACTTTCTCCCTCCTCCATGCCACTCAGGCAGACAGGCACAGAGCTTATCAGCACTGTAGTTCTTCACCTTCTGCAGCCATCTCCTTCCTGTTTCCACTGTCCCTTCAGTCCAGGACTTCCTTCCCCTCCATCTAGACTTTCCTGCCCCTCCTCCAGACTGCCTGAGACAATGGGATCAAATGATTATTCCTGGAGCAGTTTCAGTGCTGCCCTTTCACTGCTCCAAGGCCTTGTATAGCTCCTAACTGCCCACCAGATCAACCCGGAATCCTTACAGGGTGTTCATGTATCCTTAACAACTCGCCCAAACCACTAGCATCCTCTTTCATCCTGTTCTTCCCCTGTAATTCACTCATGGCAGATGTGCCTTGGTGTTTTTAAGTTGATGGCTTTCCTCTCTGTCTAGAAATAACCTTCTTCCTATCTCTTCTTGTTTAAATTCCCTGCACCCCACAGGCCTTCTTGCCTCCCCCCGTTAGGAGATTACTCCCTTTTTCCCACTGCCAGGTTTAGGCCCCATTAGCCCATTTTCCTTTAATCTTGTCTTTTGTCTCCCCCAGCTGTCAGCCTCCTGAGGGCAGAAGCTCCCTATTGCCTTGGCCTCCTGGGCAGGTCCCTCTTGCAGGCAATTAATACTCAGTGAAAATCAGCTGATTGGTTTAAGAGTTAAGTAACTACATTTGTGTTCTCTTGCATGTTTTTCTTTGAAATTTGAGTTTTTCTTGAAATTATGATTCTTTTTGAATTTAGTTTCTCTTTGGCATGCCCTTTATTCATATATACACTATTTCTAAGTTATATATCCTTAGGTAAGGAAGTTAATAAATATATGATTTTTAATTAAGTTTTTGTGGTACTGGGATTGATATAAAAGAATTAAGTAGTTTGATTCTATTTTATGTACTTATTTATTTTTATTATTTATTTATTATTATTATTTTTGTGTGTGGTACCGGGGATTGAACTCAGGACCCTGCACTTGCCAGACAAGCGCTTATTCTACTGAGCTATCTCCCCAGCCCCTGATTCTATTTTAAATCCTTCTTATTTAACTTTGCTGTATTAACTTGGGGAGGGAATGTGATGGCAGGGTGGAAAGAGTACAGGCAAACACTGACTATAGTTAGGATAAAGCACAGGAACTTTACAATCACAAGCTGAAGTTTGTATAACGTACTTTGGAAGTTACTTCATCTTTTGAGTTTCATGTACCTGTCCAAAGAATAAGGATTTTTAAATTATCTACAAAGTCTTTTCTCGTATAGTATATAATACTTGGTAGGTCCTTAACGTAATTTGGGAAAGAATCACCTTAAGGGGTGAGGATCTGTCTAGTATCTTCCTGTGAAAATTAAATGGAAAAAAACCATGAAAGTGATACTCAATAAAAGACTTACAGGCTATAGTATGCATTTTCTCCTTGCTGTGATTTAGGAACCATGATTTTGTCTGTAATGTTCCTGCCACATAGTACAATGAGTATTGGCTGTTATTTTACTAGATTTGAATAATCTACTGGATTTAATGTTGTTCCAGATAAGTTTCTGTAAGTTTTTAAAACAAATGTGTATTGCATTAGCACATATTTTACATTTTATCAACCGACTAGGTAAACCTTACTGTTTGGAAATAGCTAGTGGTTTATTTGTTCAGTGACAAAGGAATATGAATCTTGGGTAGCTTTATTCATTTAACAATAATATTTATGTTTCATAAGCTTATATTTCTTAAGACGGGGTGATGACTGGGTTTTGTCCCCGAGGAACCTCTAGCGTGACACTGACTCTGTTTGTTTACAGAAGAAGAAGAAGAAGAAGAAGAAGAAGAAGAAGGCAATGTTTCTGTGAAAATGGAAGAACAAAGGAGAGTAAGTCTGGACAGTGTGCACCACCCCTCAGGTAATGGTATAGCCTCCTGGCAAGGCTTACTGTGGTTCTGCTTCAGTCCCATTCGGACTGTTCTGTAGGTGTCTGCGCAGCTCTCAGAAGTTGGCTTGTTTGGTCTCCATGTCTTATGGCTGCTGAGCTGCTTAGTCCCATTTAGGATGCATGCAAACCACTTGAGAAGGATTTATAAAGTAAGCCAATTTATACAAGGTATTCCTTCCTGAATTACTTTGTAATGACTCAATTAGCTTTCATTTCTGCACAGAGGAGATTTAGTTGCATAAATTAGCTTATCATCATTGAGGAAGTGTCACTGCTAAAGGACAGTTTATAGATACAACATGCAGTTGCTGTCAAACCTATAAGAATGTAATATAGACATCTGTGTATACTTTGTGCTTGAGCAGAACAGACTTCTGCCATTCAGAGACTAACAGGGGACAACAAGTTGCCCAGGGGACAGGCAATGTAGACATCTCTGAAAAGGTCAACTTGACACAGGCTCTGACAATCGACCCACAGCTCTGTCTTCTTTGATAAAAATCAGATAAACTTAAGACCGCTAATTGATCTGCAGCCTGTTTAAATGTTGGCCATGCATATCTTCATTGCATATGATTAACACAGAAAGCAAATGAATTGGGTAAGAAATGCCAGAGTCCAGTGACAGGAACTGAAAACTGGAAAAGGACACTGGTGGCCTAAAAGACTAGGAACGATGTTCTTCCCTTTTATCCATTTCCACTTGGCACATGGCCCCAAGTACTAATTGTGGCTGAGACTGGAAAAATAACTGCACATGCTGTGTGCAAAATCACATGCTACAGACTACTTTTCTTGTTTGTTGTTATTTCCAAATTGCAAGAGATAACCATATCTGTAGGAGCATGAGGTTAGTTTTGATAAACCAGCAATTATGTTACACTGGAGGAAGAGGAGGCCTGCCTTCTTATCAGGACTTTACACCTCTCCATAGCCACATGTTAGCTGGGGCAAGGTCTGCCCTATCATCCCCAGGTCCTGCAAAGAGCTGGGGCTGGGGTCACCTTCCCCTCTCTGATATGTCCATACATCACTCTTTCAAGCTGTCAGAAGCAGGGTGGACAAGAAGCGTGTGTTCAGGAAGTAGCGTTCCAGAGGCCTTCCTCCAGCGACATGTGGAGAGGAAACGGAGGCCTGATTCAGGACCTGGACAGGAAAGCAGGCGCAGGTTGCTGTGAAAGGTTTTGGTTTTGCTGTTTTCAGAGAGGAAGCAAGGACTTAAGTCATTGCATGTCAGCACTCCTGTCCCGTGAAATACAGAGGCTCAGTGAAACTTTGAAGACAGTGTTTGATACTAATTTAAGTATGCATCATATGTTTTGGGTTATATATCATGAACCTGCTGCTAAAAACATGTACTTTTCTCTTTAAAAGATTTTTGCACAGATATAAGACATTGATATACAGATAGAGATCCTTTCCACAGATACATATATTTTGTCTTAAAGCAATTGTATTTTTCAAAAATGCATTTAAAAAACAAAAAAGAAAAAAAAAACTCTTTAAAAGCAACTGTCTCCCAAATTTTTGCCTTTGAGGCTAGGAAAGAAATCAGTTTTTCCTCAAAGAAATGAAATAAATAGATCTAGCTTTTCAAGCTGTTGCTATAAAGCACTGTAATAATTCTTATCTTTAGTGACATGAAATCTTTTCAAGCAACAGTTTTAATGCTTTTGCATAGCAGTGACCTTTGCTCATCCCTAGGCTGTCAACGGCGAGAAGCTTGTTTGCTGTGTGGGGCAATGAGTTGACAAGCGTATTACTATCTCACTGAGAATCACATGACATGAACTTCTAACCTTACTCAAGAATGTTACATATTTTTCACATTGACTGATTTTACTAAAAAAAATCATAGATTATTCTAATGTAAAATATGTAAGCTAAAGCAAAATCTATCTTGTGTTTTTACGTTACTGCATGTTCAAGCTTATGCATCTAGAACATATTGACTGACATACATGTGCATGCACACACATACACACACATGATCTCACTTGATTTTTCTCTTCAGTTTTCTTTATTTTTCTATTTGATTTTCTTAACAATGTAAAATATTCTTATCTTTTTAAAAATAGTTTTAAAGCCTACAACATCCACAGAGAGATTCTCCATTTATTATCATGTTTTGTTGTCATTTTAAAAATACCTTGCCTTTTCTGCAAAAGTATTTCCAGTGTTTACATGTTTAGTTTCTACTTCTGTAATAATTCTGTTACATTTGCCCAGTTAGCTTTTTGTGTGGTTTTAAAGGCAGGAGCAAGTATATTGTTTAAGTCCTCTATGAGCTGGCTAATTTATAGTTTCTTTTGTACCTTCTTGTTTTAACCATTCGCGCCTCTCAAGACAAGAAACATAAAGTGATTTTCTTTCGGTAATTTTGAAAATATAGGTCACGATGTAGATCAAATGGAAAAGTTGATCCATGTAGTTCAGACAACTAAACAGAAATAACTTGTACTTTAGAATGCATGTTTATCACATTATTCTCCATCCTGTAACAAATACATATGTCACATGGATTATTTTTCAGTGTGTCGGTGAACAGTGTTAACCTCATGAACCTATACTTTTGAGGCTATGTCCATTTAATTCTTGCATATATAATTAAGCACATGTAAAGTTTTGAAAAAGTAATTAAAGGAACTTAATGCCTCCTATGAACATGATCATTCCTGTATCCACATTTCATAACAAGAATTTAAGCACTGCATTCCTGAGGAGGCCTGGACTAATGACACACAGTACCAGGATCCCTCCCTAGTTGATGTTTCTAGTTTTTGAGTAGTATCCCATGCTGAAGAAGATAGAATAGTGAATTGTGTGTGCATATAGCTGTGTGACACACACAAAGTATTCTTTAACAGAGCTCACATATGGGACACAGAAGTGAGGCTGGTCTTTGGGTAGCAGCAGCATCAAGATTATAGGAAGCGTAGCTGAAAATGCATCTTTTCCCCAGGATTGCCCAAGTGCTGGCTCTGTTGCCTCTTGACAGCAGTGAGTTTAATGAAATGCTCATGATGCACATCCAGGGAGAGATGCATCTTGTACACGGTGGGGGGCTCCCTTCCCCTCGCCTGCTCCTGGAACTTCCATTAGTGTTAATGGGTGTTTCACCAAGTGCATCGAGGGGAAGAGAGACCCCAAAGTGATAAGAATTATGGGCTAGAAATCACCGCGTACTTTTTTTCTTTCTTCCCTTCCCCCTCTTAAAGATCTTTTAAATTAAAAATGATCATGAGAGAATCAGAAAAGGGGAGAGCTACCTGGACAGCTGGGGAGCCCGCTAGAATACTATTGCTGAGCCCAAAGCCTCTACTCTCCTTTTTAGCCCAAGTTTTGTTTTCCCTATCTTTGGGGGCCAAACCTAAGGCTGAGAAGTATGGGGAGCAAACAGAAGCCTTGACTAGGGAAGCCGGCTGTCTAGACCCGTTTACTGCCTGGCTGTTAGTGTGGGGGAGGGCCTCGCGTGTGGGTGATGTCATCCTCTCAGTGCTCTAATTCCTTGACTTTTAAACTGACACTGAAGGACTGTGTGGGGCGCAACGTTTGACCCATTTAGCAGTTGATTTAATCTGACTAGAATGTTTCAACTTCTAAATCTTTATTTGTTTAAATAAGTGGTTTTTAAAAGAAATCAGTCACTTTATTATAAAGTGATTTTTTTTTTCTAAAAAAAAAAAAAAAAGAGTGACAACCCTTGGAGGATCTGGCCAACCAGAGTGCCCTCTAGTGTCCATTTATAGAATTTATTTAATGTATACTGGGGTGAGGGGGAGTAATGAGAGGTGGCCTCAAACACTGTCAGTTCTTGGTTGGGTTCCCAGGAGGGTGCCTACCTCCCTGCTGGCATCAGCAGTGAGCACTCAGGTGCCAGTGTGGAGAAGTAGGAAGGTGCATGTCTCTCTGTCCACCTCCCTCCTTTCTCCTCTTCCCTCTGTCCCCCTCCTGAATTCTTAGGAAATGAGACAAAAATTAATAGGTGGATTTTGCTAGGTTGTATATTTTCTTGTCCTTGTTTTTTTTTTTTTAACAAGTATAATTGAAAAGTAGCATCTTATAAACATCTGGATTCCGTGTTATTCAGATTCTTTTTTGGGTTTAATAATGTTTTTGAAGATACTGAAGAGAACATTAAAACTTTCTAGTAAAGTTAATGTTCTATGTGAGTCAGAAAGTCTAACAAGATGAGCACACTCCTGATGCGAGTGAGGTCAGTTGTATTGGAATTGGCCAGAAGCTTGCTGTTCAGAAGCCACACAACAGAACTGAGATGATAGCCCGGATCCAGCAAGTGGCCCCACCATCTTCCCTTCAGAATTCGAAGATGACATTCCGGGGCTGGGAAGTTGATGCACAGATGTGCTCTGCCCAGCCAGTGAATACACGGACATCTTATTGATATTACTTGCATTCTTTTTGCGTTAACTCATCAAAACTCAATTATCATGAAATTAAAAACAGGAAATAGTTCTCTGTAACAAAAGCATCCAGTGTGTGTAACTCTGTGCTGCATTTCAGCAGCCCACATTGTATAAGTGACAAAGCATTTATTACCCGTTTATTGTGGTATTACAGAGTAGAGAGCACTAAATAATCAATCAGTTAATGGTCTGTATGGCAGTTGGAGCACATCACATCCATTGTGCTTATGTTGGTAGAAGGATGAGCTGATAATTCCCGTGTATGTTGCATGTTTATTCAGAGCTTAATGTCCTAAACTAGAGCTGACAAAAAATCTGGTGAAAAATGCAGCTTCAGCCGTGGCAACTGCAAAGTTGCTAAAATATTTTAGAGGCTTTGGACATAAATCCCTTCCCCCAAAGAGCTACAGTTAACTTCTGTATTATTTGTACTTTATCCTCTTCCTGTACCCACTTTTGGGTTGTAGGATTAAAAAATGATTCCTTAGTTTGAGTGTTGTATTTACATGTATGCATCTTTATTGTTGTTTTGAAGGGTTGCAAATTCTGCAAAATGATTATTGCACAATTCTGAAGGGTGCCATTCTCTTCAGAACACGCTGGGACTGGCTAGGTTCATACAGCAGACAAGTGGGGAGCAACATGTAGGTGGTGTTTTGATAAAAACACACTGCAACTAGAGGTTATATGGGAAAAGCAGAAAAAGAAAAAAGACAGTAAACATTAGATCTTATTGAAAATTATCTTAAAAGACAGAGCTAGGATTCTCCTCTGGATGTAATAAAACATTCGTGGACTCAGGATGGATTCTTTTGGTGGTCTGGATTGGTCCTTTGCTTTACATTGGCTCAAGCCCTAATTCACACTTTCTATTTCTTTTTCCTAGCAGATAAGAGCACAGATTATGCTAATTTTTACCAAGGCTTGTGGGACTGCACGGGAGCTCTTTCCGACGAGTTGTCATTTAAGCGCGGTGATGTGATTTACATTCTCAGCAAGGTAAGAGAGGAGAGATGACAGCAGTGGAAGGGAAACGCACAGTTTGATTTTTATGCATTTGGATTTACAACAATAGGGGAAAATGCCAGTTCAATTCTTCTAGGTCCTTGTTAACAATTGGGAGTTCACAATAATTAATTACTTTGTCAAGTGAAATATAATCAAAACTTAAACACACTCAGATAAGAGAACCCAGCCTAGAATGTGTGTACTCGTCACTCCAGCCTTGGTCCACATCCCCCTTGCCTCCTCCAGGAACAATGCACTTAGCGAAAGCTGACATTGCAGGGCATTGGGTTGTTTATTACGTTTCTCTTTCCTTTTCCTCTGTATTCTTCTCTGTGCTTATTCTAAGTTTGTATGCCATTCACTACTGGAAACACTGTGTTTATAGAACAAGGTTTTCCTCTTTATGTAAATATATTGAGTGTTCCGACAATTTAAAAGCAATTTAAAAGTGCTTTTCTATTCAGACAGGTTTAAATAAGTGTAACACACTATGTTTCTAAACAGAATGGCAAAGTATATTGTTTTAAACTCATCTTTATATATATTATATATATGAATCTTTGTCTTTGCTTTTTGAAATACTGGATTGTTCAGAATGTGTAAGTCTAAAAGTTAGGTTATATTTGTACATACCCATTTTTTTTTGGTGGGGGGGCAGAACCGGGGATTGAACTCAGGCCCTTGTGCTTGCCAGGCAAGTGCTTATTCTACTGAGCTATCTCCCCGGCCCCTGTTAATTTTCATACTTTTTCTTCCACTGTTACATGGAAATTAAAATATCTTCCTTTGTCTACATTGTGAGTCTATTTTAGAAACAAACAATACATGGAAGTAATTTAAATATAAGTTAAAAATGTTAAATACATCATTATCTAAGAGTTTAATATGATTTTTTATTTTGATTTCTTGGTTAGAGAAATATTTTGGTACTTTAAAGAGCTAATTTCATTAGTAATCTCTGTAAGGAATTTGGAAATAAAGTCACATATTGAATTTTAATGCTAGAATGGCTAGTGTATAAAATCATAAAAGGTGATTATAAATTCGAGTGAGGATCTTAACAAGGGTCATCTGTTTTAGCTCAAAAGAGAGCCAGGGCCTGTACCTGGTGTAGGTGTCTTGACTCCCAAGTCTGGTGTGTGCTTTTTTCTCTACTTTCTTTCCCCTCCCCACCCGCCCTCCCTCTCTTTCCTCCCTCACTCCCTCCTTCCTTCTGTTTTATTTGAAGTAAGTGTAAAACACCCACAATATGCTGGAACCCATTTTAGCCACCAGAAATCCAAAAGGAATGCAATATAAGCACCTAAAGATTGCTGGGGAAAGAAGTATGTAATAATAAATAAGTAAAAATAGCTATGGTAATTGCTGGCTAACATGCCTCAAGCTGAGCCTTAGCACTTAATCCTTTCAGTCTTCCACTTGTTAGCATAGTGTTTTTGGTTGTTATTCTCAGAAAGATATTTTCAGTCCTTTGGAGCTATAGATAGTGAGCTTCACATTAAAACTCTTAATTAAGCCTGTTATTGAGCATCTAATTGTCCTGACTTAAGACAACAACTTTCTGAGTTAATTACTGAATATAGAAATCAAACTGATTAGTTTTAGCTCTTATTAAGTAACTTTTTTGGAATCATTACTAAGTTGACGTGGTTCAGAGTTTCTTTAAGCAACTGGGCTGCAAATATGTATAAAATTAAAAAATGGATTATTTTCCATTTGAAACGTCCAGTTGTAGGGGTGACTGCTACACACTTATCCCACTGTTTTTGCAAATATAAAGCTTGTGGAGCCCGGGAAACTGAAAGCTTCTTTATGAGTCAGGTTGTCACTGAAAGCCTGGGCAAACTCCCACCTCCAGCAAAACAAGCACAGTTCCCTGAGCTTGTCTTCTACTTTTGCTTCAGAAAATCATTTTCTGTCCATGTGAAACTGAAAGTATAATCATAGGAATGTATTCTAGTTCTAGGATCCTACAGACAGAAGTTCCTGTTCTTCCAAGCCTGTTTTGAGGAGCCTATCCCTTCATTAGTGAAGCCTGATCATAGAACTAAAGTTGGGGGTGGTCCTCACAGGAAATCTTTTAAAGCTGCCACCCAAAATTTTTTTAAGCTACTTGGGAAGAGCTGAACAAAAAAATACAGTATTCCCACTATCAGATGTTTTACCAACACCATTGCTTCATTGGAGATGGGCATTTTAGCATGGACTTATTTTAGGTTTAGCCAAGAAAGAAACAGAATAGACCAGCACACATCACTATTGGCTGCATGACTGAACTTCCAGTGGCCCAGTTCTGGACATGGCAGAATCAGCTTGGTAAGGGTTGCTGAGCATGAGAAGAAGGGCATTAAGCTATGCCTGGTGGTACATAGACCTTTGAGCTATGTATGGGTATATTTGATAGTCTGGTTGCTTCGGAGTTGAGTATATGTTCGTGAAAATCCTTATCTTGTCATCTTGCTTTGGGCAAATTGAGATGGAAATCTCTAGATGGTCTCTAATAAGCTTATATTACCATGCCCTTCTTGTTTGTCAAAACTTTGGCAAGCATATTCCAGAATTTAATACTATAAATTCACTTAGTATATAAATAACTGATTTTGAAGGCTTGGTATTATAAGAACTTGCTAAAAGTGGTGGCACAAGCCTGTAGTCCTGGCACTCAGGAGGCTGAGGCACAAGGACCACTGAGAATTTGAGGGTTGCCAGGGCTACATAGTGAACTTAAGGGCAGCCTAAATGACATAGTAAAAAATAACACAGAACACAAAGCCTTTAGGAAGAGCAAAACATTGTTTTCAAAGGGCTTATTTTTAGATGAGAATAGAACCAGTGTTATGTATTGATAGCTTTTTAAAATGCAATTAATTAGAAATTGGTAGTGTTGTTATATGCCCAGGAATTTATTTAATCTTTTTTGGAGTTATATTTGGATTTTGTGGTGTTGGGATGAAATTTTACCATTTTAATTTATTTTTTTACACCATCTAGTGGCTCAGAATGAGTGGTGCAAGCAATTGCAGCTAATGTACACAATCAAAATGGTGTCATTAATTCAACTTTAAATCTAGTGATGGGTTATTACTTTCCGATCTCATGTCAATAAAGTATTAGCATTAATCATGAAATATTTTGTTAATCATTTTGTGTTAAATGTAGAAATTATATGCATAAGGAAGAATACATTTTAAGAAACCTAACATTTGTATAGATATAGAAAATGTATACTTGGCAAAGAAATTAATTCCATGACTTTGCTATTAAATAGCATCATTGAAAAGATTTTAAAGACACTATAACTTGCTCTTAGTAATGAACTGACTTGAAATACTAAATTTTCACTGATTTAATCTATAAGTTTGTTGTTCTTAAGCTATCCTTTTCCAAAAAGCAACGCAAAATAGTTTAACAAGATACATTCTTTCAATATAAATAAACATATAGAGAAATCAACAGTTATAAGTTATAATGAAGAGTGTTTTAATTTTGTAATGTAATGGCAAAAAAAAACCATTTAAGTAGTTTGGGGATTAGCCTATCTTCATTAAAAATAACACTTTGGAAATGCAGTTTTATTTTAAAATTCCATCCTCTATTTTACAAGGAATGCTGTATAGGGTATCAGCTGTGTTCAGCCTGGGGTTGATTTATTTTAAGCATCTTTTGAGAGTTATACACATCTTAGAATTTGTTTTATTCTATTTTTTTCAATGAAAATCAAGTATTATAATGAAGAACAGGCAAACACTCAACTCTTTCCCCTTCCCTTTTTAATATTTTTCAATTAGCTGTCATGTGACCTCCGGCTAAGCTAGCCCTTCTTCAGAGTGTCCAGGAATTTTCTTAGGTTTAAGCTTTCAGTCTCACTGATAATAAATCTAAATACTGTTTGCCTAAAAAGAAGATCCAGTAACTTTGCTTTATTGTTATTTTCATACAAAGTTGCTGCTGTTTTTTTATGTGTTAAAATAAGTGCTGCAATAGTTCATTGGATATTTAGATTTTTTTTTCCATAAAAAACTCAAAAGCACATTTTTAGGGACAAATAAAGATGAAATTTGTGATTCTAATAACAGCTGTGTTGTTAGTGAATTGACCCTGAAATACAGGTGTAGTTCAGATTCATTTGATGGGAAAAGTTATATTGGAGGTATGAAACCTATTAATTTTTAAAAACATTTTGTTTAGTAATCAGGTTACTTAGAATCATGCTAAATAAAGTATTTTACTAGTTTGTATCTCAGTTCTGTTTACTCCAACCATGGCTGTAATATTGCAGTTAATAGCATTTTCCTAGAAACATGCTTATGAAAATTTTATAGTTTCAGTAACAGGATCCATATCACACAGCAGAAGGCCTAGCCCATGTCCCTGCATTGCTCTTTGTTTAAATATTCTGCCTTGTTGTTGTGGATTTACATCCTCTGTTAGTTTATCTTTCAATGTGTACTTGGAGTAAACTGCTACCAACATTCTCATCTTTAGTTTTACAGTAATAAATTATTTTTAGTGACTTAATAACTAATGAGCTATACTTCATCAGGAAAGAGGCAAGCTACTTTGATGCTAAAAGAAAAATAAGAATATTAAGGATTCTAGAATATTTAGTGTAGGGTATATATGACTTTAGCTTTGTAGCCTTTTTGAGAAATATGAAGTCAAAAGACAGGATGTAGAATACGTCATCACTAATACACAATAAAAGGCACTTTTTTAGAGTTTATTGGTTTGAGTTCCAAGCATTGCTTCCTTCCATGTCTATCTGCTTGATTGACTTTTTGCGGCAATTGATGAATGGTGACAGACATTGACCATTTGCTTCTCATTATGAAAATAAAAAGATTCAGGTACTATGCCTCACCCCCTGCCACATAAACCTATAAAAATGAATGAAGTAAACATCTTGCTGAGCTCTGCTGGCAGAGGGAAACGACAGGCTTCTCTGTAGCTGTTGTAGCTTTCGTGCATGATTGTGTGACCCAGGGTGCCAC